GTGTGTGTGTGTGTGTGTGTGTGTGTGTGTGTGTGTGTGTGTGTGTGGCATGCAGGGAGTCGCCAGGAGGCAGCGGAGAAGCAGGCTCAGGGAGCCAGCGGTTCCCTGTGTGCTTCGCCCAAGGCGCATGGCCGCGGGTGCTGGTGCCAGCGCAGCATGTGCAGGGCCAGGGCGCGAGTGCGAATTCTGGGAGCAGGAGTGGGTGCGAGAGCGTGTGCAGGGCGCGGGCGCTGCTGTAGGTGCAGGGCTCAGGTGCGTGTGCGGGTACGAGTGTAGGGCGCGATTGCGGGCGCGGGGAGCGTGCAAGGGGCGGCGGGCGGGCGCGGCGGCGGCAGTGACAGCGTCGCCCGCGCTCCCCGCGCGTAGGTGTGCGGCGCGCTCCTGGCGGGCACGGAGCGCGCAGATCTCGCGTGCGCTCGCCGCCCGGCGCAGCCCAGCCCGGCCCCCGCTCGGCGCCGCGAGCCGAGGTGTCGCCCGCGCCCGTTCCCGTGTCGCCGCCGTGCCCGCGAGCGGGAGCCGGAGTCGCCGCCGCCCGAGCGCAGCAGAGCGCACGCCAAGCCCGTCCGTCGCCGCCATGGCCACCACGGTGACTTGCACCCGCTTCACCGACGAGTACCAGCTCTACGAGGATATTGGCAAGTAAGAGCCGCGGCGCGTGCGGGCTGGGCCGGGGACCCCGGAGGGCGCCGCGCTCCGAGGGCCGGGACCCTGGAGACCCAGATCCTCTGCGCCGCCGGCTCCGGGTGCACTGCGGCCCCGCGCGACCCCGGCTCCTCCCGGCTCCGAGCCCGGAGCGCACGGCCCCGCGCGGACCCGACCCCCGGGCCCCCCGGGGCCCAGCCGCCGGACCTCGGCGCGCACGGCCCTGCCGGGCCCTGTCCAGCGTGACCGCCCGGCCGGAGGCCCCGGCTCGAGGCGCGGGGCTCGGTGCAGCGGGGGCGGCAGCAGGTGTTCCCGGAGCGCCCGGCAGACGTGACGCATTTGGCGGCCGGAGGTCGGAGAGGAGCGGCGCGCGGGGGCGGCCGCGGGGCCTGGAGCGCGGGGGAGGGGGCGGACCTAGCCGAGAGGGTCGTCCCCGGCGCGAGCCGCGCTGTCCCCACCCCCAACAAGAGGCTGGGCGCGGGGGCGGCGGGACTTGCTCTGCGCCTCCTTCTCCGCGTGGCTCCATCCGCGCGGGGGGTGCCAGCTGCGCTCCGCGCCGCGTGGGAACAGCCTCTGCTGTGGGTGCCCAGGGGAATCGGGGTTCTGGAGGATTTTCCCCCAGATCCTTCTGGAAAGAGGAGTCTGGAGTGCTGGGGGCTGAGGTCAGGGAGCTTGGATCAGGTCACCGGGGTGAAGATGAGGGGGTGAGGTGGGAGCCTGATGGGCTTCAGGGTCATGGAGGCAGGTGGGGGCTGGATTCTGGAGAGTTGTTTGCGGGGAGGTGATGGGAGGGACTTTGAAAGCTCGTTTCAGGTAGGGCCTCACCGGGGAACAGGTGGCTCCTGGGCTTTGCTCGCCAGCAGGAGCCGTGTAGGGCCCTAGACCTGCCTCTGCCTCCGGGCTCTACCCCAAAGCGGGTCGGCGGCTCCTCTCTGGCCTGCGGGTCTCCACTCTGTGCATCAGGGTGGCTGCACCTGGCATCTCCACGTCCGGCTCCAGAACTCCCGAAGCCCTGGCTCCAGCCCGGCGCGGCCAGAGCCCCGTTCTCCTCTGTCCTCCTGCAGCCCACCCCGTGGAAGGGGCGCTGGCGAGGTTTCCTCTTACGCATCCAGCGGCAGATCTTTTTTTTCCTTTTATTAAGAAACGTCTGTGGTGATACCTTGTGTTGGCGAGGGAAGCTGATCACTGAAAATTGTGGGCGCGAGCTGGGAGGAGTGCGGGGGGTGTGAATTCCCCAAGGCTCCCTGCACGTGGGGGACGATGCCAGTTAGGCCTGGGGGGTGCTGAGGGAGTGGGGTGGAGTGGAGAAAGCCCGTGGCAGGCCGCGGGCAAGGCTGGGCCCTGGGGACCCCAAAATTCCCTTCCCTCAGGTAGGGGCTGGTTGAGTGCCTGTCCGCAAGGCAGGGGGACCTGGAGAACAGAGAAGGGATCCAGCACACAAACTGTGTGCATCCCGGAGGCCCTGAGGAAGCTTCTGGGGCATGTCTGGGAGCAGGCCTGTGAGGACAGGGCGACGGGCTGGTGGTCCTCAGGTGGGAGCAGGTGGTTGTCCGAGGCAGAGGGCGGCAGTGGGGGGAAGGTTACCCCATTCTAGGGGACCTTCTTGTGGTTTCTCTGCTTGTGCCCAGGCCCTCCCACCAGGCACTCCCGGGCCCTTTGGCAGAAATGCCTCTTCTCGTTCACCCCATCTCCCCAACCTCCCCAACCCTGCTGGCCTCTCCTTCACTTTTCTGTGAATCTCCCTGGGCCAGCGGCCCTGTAGGGTGGTCAGACCAACCTCGGGCCTCCGGTTCCAGCAGCAGCGACTGGTTATTCTCATCGCTGCCGTCCACACCCACACTGGGGGATGGAGGTCCTTGGGGCTGCCCTTGGGGAGGCCGGGAGGGGTGGCGGACCCTGCAGTGGAGGCCAGGCTCCTCGGGAAGGGAGCTGGGGGCCTGGGGTGGGAGTGGGTGAGGAAGCCTAGCTGTCTAGGGGGCCCAGGGGCCTGGGAGAGGAGGGGAAGACACCCCACCAGCTGGGCCAGCCCATCACCCCTTGGCGGGGCCCCTAGGCACCAGGCCCAGTGCGGGATGCCCAGGGGCCTGTCACAGCCCTGCTGGGGCGTCCCGGGGCGGGGGAGGAGGCTGGGCCAGTGCAGGGTGAGCTGCAGCGGGGCAGGTGGTCAGGAGGGAGGGTCGGGCACTCAGGCCAGCGTCTCCGCCCGGGGCTGGGGTCCGCAGTGGCCATGTCGGTGGTTGTTGACAGCGCCTGGCCGGCCTGAGGCACAGTTGGTGTTGCTTCCCGGCCCAGGTGGATGTGTCCAAGTTTATTTAAAGCTGCAGCCCCTGGCACCAGTCAGGCAACACTAAACTCCCTGCCTGGGAAGGGCTGGGCCACAGGCCCACAGCTGCTCTCATGACGCGGTCACCGGCCTCTCCCTTCCCTGCCCTGTCCCCTTCTGCACCTGTCCCACCCTCGCCACTGCTGCCTCTGCGCGGGATCGTTCCCTGGGGACCCGGGCATCGGCTCCGAGGGCCAGGAGAAGCTCTTTTCTGGGGCTCTGCCCTTCCTTGTCCGGCCAGGGCAGGGCTCCCCGACACCAGCCTGGAGGCCTAAGTCCTGGGTCAAGAGTCACCTTGAGCCCTGGACGGTCACAGGTCAGGGCGGTGAAGCCCTCAGCCCAACACGGACCGGCCAGAAGCATGGTTTAAAATGTTTCCATATTGGATAGAATTTTTTAAATGAAAAAAAACTTCCAGGAGTAATACAACAAACACTTGTGTCTCTTCTACCCGGAATTGGAAACTGTTCCTCTTTTGTCATTTTGGCTTTAAGTCCTTTATTTTAAATTGTAAGAAATAAAGCGTTACAAAGAAATGTTAAGTAACCATTCTCTTCCAAACCGACTGTCATGCATTTGGAATTTATCCTGCCAGACTCTTTTTGCTTCATTTACGCACAGCTAGAAGGATCGCCAACTAATATATAGGATTCTTTGGTGTTTTTTCTTTAAACTTTACATAAACATTTGGGAATGGGCTTCTTTATGGGGACACATTCTGACCTTTCGCTGCTGCTTGTGTGTAGTGACCGTAGTATCTGTAGTACGTCATGCTCCTTTCCTCATGGCAGTCTCGGTGTTCCCAGTTTCTCTCTTCCACTCCGGCATCGGGTTTGCTGGCGCGCAGGTGTGAGGGTTTCTCTAGGGTTTGTCCCCCCTGGTGGGGTTGCCAGCGGGGGGTCCGGGTGTTCTCTGCGGCTGCCCTGGGCCCACTCCCTCCGGCCCCCTCCCCAGGCTCGGGGCCAACCTGATTTTTCGGGCTGTTCGTTGGGTAGGAGGCAGTCTTGCATTTTGTGTTCAGGCTCCCGAAGCTTCCAGTTTGGGGATTCATCCCCTTTAAAATATGAGTGGTTCCCCCCGGGGAGAAAGCAGCTCCCACACGGCTTTGGATATAATTCAGGGGTTCGTGGACCCCTCCCCTTGGGGGAAGGTTGTAACAACCCCTAAGGGGCGCATCACTTCGAACATTTGATTTTATTTGATTCGAGGTGCCGGGGAATCCCCCCTCCCCTGTCCCCCCCATTTCATAGGCATAGAACTGCAGCTCAGGGTGGGTGGGCAACTTGCCCTGGCAGCCGGGAAGGCCCCCACCTCCAGCCCAGGGCACCCCTGTCCCTCCCAGCTTCCCCCGAAGCTCAGCTAGGCCCCGAGCTGACCTTGGTATGTCCTTGGTTCCATCCAGTGTGCCCCAGTCGGAGGACAGCAGGTCCCGTCCCGGGCTGTGACCCCTCGCCCGAAGATAGCCGTCGGCTTTCTCGGCGTCCTCTCAACTAGCAAGCGGCCTGCTAAGTAGTTAATAGATAAACTCAGGAAATTCAGAGCAAATCGACTGTGAGCCTCCTGAGCTCTGAAGCCTGGTTGCCAGGAAAGACAGGACTCAGGTGGGGGAGGAATCACCGTGTTTGCTTTCTCCGCTCTCGGGCACACTGGGTGCTTCCTGCCCCAGGGCCTTTGCCAGCGCTGTTCCCTCCTCCTCTGATGGTCATCCCCCTGGCTGCTCAGCGAGGTCCCCGTGCCCCCTTCCCGCCTCCCGCCCCACTCAACCTCTCCCCACTTCTGTCTTCCCCTGTCACTTGGCACCATCTGACACCAAGGTGGGGGGCAGGTCCTGCCCACAGTGGGGTCTCCTGCACGTGCGAGGAAGGGGTGAGTGAACCCGGTGGCCTCTGTCTCCTAGGCTGGCCCCCAGCGCCGGAGTCTGGATGCCTAATGTAGGGTATTTAGAGAAGTCGCACATGTTGAGGCTGCTGTGAGATGCACATGAAGGTGAGGCTAGTTTAGTTACTATTGAACGGTATTTTTATACCATAACCTACTTTGCTGAGAGCTAAGAATATATCTTGCGCTTGCGACTTGCACTCTTTCTCTGCTGGTAACAGTTAAATGGTGCTTATTACATTAAGCTGCTTGATCTGTGAAATAGGTACCGTGATCACTCCCGGTTTGCAGAAGAGGTGCCTGAAGCTCAGAGAAGCTCCGCACGGGGCCAGGGTTTGAATCCAGGCAGTTGACTCTGGAATCCATCTTCTGCTTCTCTCAGAAGCTCATGACCCTACTCCATTCTGTGTTTTTAAAATACTGTTTTTCCACTGGCTGACTCATGGCCCGCTTGTGGTCTCCTCTGACCCTGGGCTCCTCAGGGCCTCACCTGTCCTTAGCAGGCTGCTCACCAAGCCTTCTTTGTGCTTCTCCAGCACAAAGGCACTGCCCTATGGTTCCTTTTTGTAAAAACGTCATTTCCTTTGGTCGTCCCTCTGTGACAACCAACGTTGCCCCCATTTGAGGCCGGCAAGGCTTGAAATTCTATTTTATTGATTAAACAGACAACAAGGATAGTATCTTATAAAGAAAAACCAATATATAAGTATGTGCAGCAGATGTGACTCTTCCACACTCAAGTTTCCTCATCCCCCAGAGGAACCTGGCCTGTCTATTTTAATGTCAGTTTAAGGAT